TATGTGTTTGTCCATATGATATGCTTTGACTTAGAAGGAATTGAAGCATCATATAAACGTGGTAAAAAATCGTTAATTGTATCTGTTAGAGATGAGTCGGGGACTAATTTATATCTCCAATAATACCCGTATAAGACTTCTTCTTCTTATTTGGCGCTGTAGCCGCCTAAGCGATTTTGGCCGAGTTCAGCAAAGCACGCCAGTCGTTTCTTATCTGTGCCAACTGACGCCAATTGGAAACGCCAAGTAAAGCCAAATCCTTCTCCACCTGATCTTTCCATCGCAGTGGGGGCCTCTCTCCTCCTCTGCTACCACCAGCGGGTTCCGAGTTGAATACTTTCAGAGCTGGAGCGTCGGTGTCCATTCGAACGACATGGCCAAGTAAGCGGAGCCGCTGTATTTTAATTCGCTGCATTATGTCCACGTCGTTGTAAAGCTCATACAGCTCATCGTTCCACCGTCTGCGGTACTCGCCGTCGCGAACGCGTAAAGGTCCGTAAATCTTCCGCAAAATCTTTCTCTCGAACACTCCAAGAGCCACCTCATCGGATGTTGTCATTGTCCATGCTTCTGCGCCATATACCAACACGGGCATGATGAGTGTAGGAGTATAGAGCGTGGTTTTCATACGTCGAGAGAGGGTTTTACTACTGAATTGCCTACTCAGTCCAAAGTAGCACTTGTTGGCAAGAGAAGTTCTGCTTTGGATTTCCATGCTGACATTATTATCGGTATTAATGCTGGTTCCCAAGTAAACGAAATTCTTTACTTTCTCGAAATTATAACTGTCATTGATGACAGGAGATACTTCGTCTTGTCCTCCTTTACTACCAGACACATTCGCTTTGCTTCCTTATCCAACTTGGGAAAGGCAGAACAGACTTCGCGGTTTCTGATACCATGACATCGATGTCATCGGCATAAGCCAGCAATTGCACGCGCTTGTAGTAAATTGTTCCTGAGTGGTTCAGTTCTGCGGCTCTTATTATCTTCCCCAACATCAGATTAAAGAAGTCACAGGAAAGGGAGTCGCCCTGTCTGCAACCCCGTTTAGTGGCGAACGGCTCGGAGAGGTCTTTCGCAATTCTGACGGAGCTGGTGGTATTGCTCAATGTCATTTTACACAGCCGTATGAGTTTTGAGGGGATGCCAAATTCAGACATATCGGCGTATTGGCAACTCCTTTTAGTGCTGTCAAAAGCGGCTTTAAAGTCGACAAATAGGTGGTGAATGTCGATCCTTTTCTCGGGGGTCTTTTCCAAGATTTGCCGTATTGTGAATACCTGATCTATATTGGTTTCCGTAAGTCGCCTAACCCTCTGGTAGAATTTTCGAGCGTTCTTCCTGTCGGCTAGCATCTAAAGCTCTTCGCACTCACGTATTTTGGCCTCTCTCTTCTTATTGCGGCAAATACGTCTCGCTTCCTTTTTCAGTTCCCACATGGCTCGCGTTGCGCCCGATCGCAGCGTGGCCCTATAGGCGGCGTCTTTTTTCTCTGCCGCTTCTTGACATTCCTGTGCTTTCGGGCTCGCTGAAGTCCAACTAATTCTTCGGCGGCGGTAGTTAATGATCGGAACATGTGGTTCCACTGCTCGCGTATGTCGGATTGTTGAAGAGTGATCTCAGAGAGCAGGTGTGTAAAAAAAAATTGTGATGGGTTTTATTAAGGGGGCTATAGCCCATGGACACTACCGTTTGGACTTGGTTTGATGGCTTATTGTTCCACTGTGAATTGTCTACCGAGCTTTAACTTTATTCTGAGGAAATGCTGCCAAGTATAATTGAATATCTCCTGGCGAAACAAGAACTTCACCTTAATGATGTCCTGATTTCAGTCAAAACTTTGCAGTATGGTAAAAGTATTAACGATAGTAAAAGTTTGCTATAAAAGGTTTCAACTAAGGCACACTGCGTGATCTTTGCCATTGGTCTTAGATAGGTCTAAAAAGTGATAAAACTGAAATAAAACAACTTATTAATATACCACGTTGACTCAAAAGTAGAAAATAATTTTCCCTAGACCCTTAGAATTCGTTCCGAAAAGTTTTGATTTTAAAGTTTTTGGCAAAAGTCATTACAAAAAAATGTATGACATCTAAAATGTATCTAATATATATTTTTTTTTTTTGTACAACACGCAGTAAAAGCTTTTTCGTGGATTGCTAATTTTTTATAAGTCCACACCTAAGCAAAAAGACAAAATTATTTTCATTAAACAGCAGTCAATTGCAATTTAGAAATAAATACCTACATACATACATACATACATATGTGTGTGCAATGTGCACCTACTTATTTGAATTGACTGTTTTCTAAATCGTAGATAAGTAGTTACTCATTGCCAATCGTATGTACAATGTTAGTCCTCGCATGTCCCTAGTCAGTCAAATTATACCCAGATAAGCAATTTATCATAATTCGAGTACCCCACTGTCATGCTGTCAACCGACAGTATTTGTTTTATATCTCTCTGTCATATTTATTCATATTATCGCAGATAACCTGTTATCGAACAGCTAATGTGTCTAATAGGCGCTTTGGCAGATATTGAATACAATTTCCATCGACAATTTGACACTCCACAGTCAAGGATGGCAAGGGCCCTGCCATATGTAAATATGTATGTATATATGTATATCTATGAAAGTTTTAGTGTATCGAGTTATAAATAAATATAAAACATTCACTTGTTTTTAGCTACACTATAGAGCAAAAGTGAACATTCATAAGTATGAATATAATGAAGCATATCAAAAAGACATGTTTTCGGGGTCTGTTTGTTCTACGATTCACTAAAAAATTGTTTATCACACGCAAGAAAAAATACCAGCTTTCAAAAATAAAACCACGAAATTTTAGAAATAAAAATATAGTAAAAATTTTCATTATGCTTCTGTTTACCGTAACCGTAGGTGCGGTGAGTACTATTTTGCTCTTTAGTGTACATTATTACTATGAACTTGGTATGTCCATCTCGGAATTACATATGTATGTGACGGCAGCTATTCTGTCCGATTTGAAGCTTAGTAACTTTTGGTAGTAATTTACCGTTATTTCCATCCTTCAGCTCTGTGAGATTGTCATTTTATTTTTTGCGCTACATAATTTCCAACGTTCACCCTGGTACAGGGCAGGATTACCAACACTTCTAACTTAATATCTATAGGTCAACCGGCAGTTTTTTCCATCCTTTTTCTTTCTTTTTATTTTCCATACTTGACCCGTCTGCGTACCAATGACACACACACATATCTGGGATGGAGGTGGGGAGCCCATATTTGTACAGATTTGCCGTTTTGCGCCGAGCATCAGAAATGCCGCATCTTTCTAACTCCGGTTTTTTCCTAAAATATCTGTCAAGGCTGCTACTGCTACTGTTAAAAAAATTATGGGTTCAAAATCGGCATCCGGATGTTTTTTCCGCACAACACTGTATGTATTTCACATTTTTTCTCGCAAATATGAAAGTAAATTTATGGTTTGACATAAATTGATAGTGTCTAACCCGCTCAGATGTGTGTAAACTTTTCACCTTCTGTAGACGGAGCACGTGTGCATAGTAAAATCTCCTCTTCCGCACAACTTCAACTCCTTCCATAATCAGCTAAAAGCAGGGACTGTAATCATTATGAGTAAAATAATTTAAATCAGCATTTAATCATTATTTTACGATTTTTATATTTTCCGCTCAAAAATAATAATTATTATTGATTTTTATATTTTTCGCTCAACGGAAATGATTGTTTTTTGTTATTTTATGGCCTTATAACAATTATATTCAACAATTTTTATTGAGCTTGAGGCCGTTTTTTTTTTAATCATAAATAATGATTATTTTATGATTTTTATTTTTTCGCTCAGAGATAATAATGATTATTTATAAAATTGAAGGGGCCATACAGACGGAACTTTACTGAAATTTTGACCTGAAAATTTTGGGACTTATTCCTTTTATTAGGCTGTCGCTACCTCTGAAAAGGATTCGACGGAAATCACGCTGGTGTAGCTTTTGAATTTTTTTTTTGAAAGATCATTATTTTAAGTGGAAAAATGAAACTCCATAGTAATAATTACCTTTGAGCGAAAAATGAAAACTTTATTGATTAAACTCGAAAAATAAAACCCATTGTAAATTACAGTAGGACGTACGAACACAAATACGAGAGTTTAGTTGAAACTGCTTTACGACGATTACAACTTGTTGATTTTTTGGCTAAAATTTAAAAAATAATGATTATTTTCCATCCCCGACTAAAAGTCTAAGGATAAAACTTCAATCTTGCCTGTTTAAAAGAACTAACTCTCCATTAGCCAGCCCTACGTCGTAAAATATATATATATATATTCTAAGTCAGTAGCCAGTAAATAGAAGTCAAATAAAAAACCTATTGCTTTTGGGCAATTACGCTACGCACGACCGAGGTATAGGGCCTTATGCATAAACAATTTAAATTTTTTTCACACAATTGCATTTTTAAGTTTTGTTTGTCAACTGCCACAGCCGAACAGCTCTCAAAAGCGGAAAGAATCGCCCGCGTTCGACTACGAGAGGTTTCACTTTAATATTGGAATAAGCAATTTTTGTTTATAATTTGGTGAGGAGGGTTCTGCTTTTATGGCTCTATGTAACTTTTAGGTGTGTTATCTTCAGTTCTATGTATACGTACGTAGACATGTACGTACATATGTATGTATGTATGTGCTAGTAATAAACAAAATATAGCTCTACGTTAATGGCGTTATCGCTCTAATACTCGTATAAAAACACTGCCAGGATAATCGTACCACTTGAAGAGACTCCCAATTCACGACTAAAGCTTCCATTGAACTCCTCGCAGCAACAAATTTTTTTTTGCGAAGGGCTATTGTGATTTCCTAATGGATCTCAAAACATTTATTTATTTTTGTCTTTAGTGTTGCCTTTAGCTATAGCAAAAGTCATTCTACCAATCAAATTTAGATGTTGTCCTTAAAAATATATTTTCTTCCTTTGTTTGCAGATGTCGGACAGGTGAAGTGCGAAAAGAATTACGAAATCTGTGAGGGTTGCGGACAAAAGATCTACGATCGGTATCTCATGAATGTCGGCGAATCGAATTGGCATGAACACTGTTTGTCGTGTTGCTACTGTGGCATACAGTTATTCAATACCTGTTACGTACGCAATTCAAAGCTTTACTGCAAACTCGATTACGATCGGTAGGTAAAATTGAGTTGCTTAATCAAATTCTGCAAATAGTCCTATTACATAAACTTAATACATACATACATATACTACATATACATTTGAAAAAACCGGTATTTCCCTCTTCTCTAACATAGATTGTTCAGCATCAAATGCACTGGATGTTGCCACCCGATCCTGCCTCATGAAATGGTCATGCGGCCGATTCCATCTTTCATTTTCCACCTGCCTTGTTTCATCTGCTACATCTGTCGACTGCCGCTGCAGAAGGGCGAACAGTTTTTGTTGCGTGATGGCCAGTTATTTTGCTGTCGACATGACCTCGAAAAGGAAATATTTCTGGCTACAGCCCAACACTGTGGCTATGTGGGCCTAGACGATGACGATATGATGCGGCCTCGGGACGGACGTCGCGGTCCAAAACGTCCTCGCACAATATTGACGTCACAGCAGCGAAAACAGTTCAAGGCTTCTTTCGACCAATCGCCGAAGCCCTGTCGCAAGGTGAGGGAAGCTCTGGCGAAGGACACGGGCCTTTCGGTGCGCGTGGTGCAGGTGTGGTTTCAAAATCAGCGCGCCAAAATGAAGAAGATTCAGCGAAAAGCGAAAAACGGTGGTGGCGCAAGCGGTGGCAGTGGCGGTACAGTCAATTCGCGCAGCGGCGATGAAAAGGATGCGAATAAGGATGAAAAGGAGATTAAGCAGGAGTGTGGCATTTCGGGTGTGGAAAGTGCTTACTTGAGTTTGGGTGACAGCGGTTTTGGCAGCCAACCACTTAATCCTAATCTACCATTCTCCCCTGATGGTAGGCCCCCAGAGTTATGGCAAACTATTGGAACACATTTGTAAATCTTTTTTTTTTTTTGTTTTGTTTCTCCCCTTACAGATTATCCTCCAAATTCAAATGACAGTTTCTGCAGCTCAGATCTGTCATTGGATGGCAGTAACTTCGATCAATTAGACGACGATACCGATTCGCTTTCGCTGAACAACCTGGAGCTGCAGTCCACGGGCTCATCGGGCAATCAACATTCCAACCCACACGACATCATCGCCAATCTCAGCACGAGTCTCGTCAACCCGATCGACAAGCTGTACTTGATGCAGAATTCTTACTTTAATGTGGACCAGTAGGTGTGGTAGATTGGCCGGTATGGAATCCAGGATACGAATTTATTAGTATTAAGACACGTTTGGGGACGTTGGGAACGGTGCGGAGAAAGTATGTGAGCGACAAATTGACTTTGGGCTGCGTGCCAAGGATGAAAGTGCGGACAGCGCCAGTTTCTCCCAAAAAAACAAAAAAATAAAAAATCAAGAGGCAATTAATTATTTATATGTACTATACATACACATACATGAAAACATACACACATATACATACATATACATATGTAGATATATAGATATAT